CAGATTTTGTTTAGTCTTATGTTTCAAGTCTATGAAGCATATTCTAAAGCAATAATCATAACACTTACAATACAGTTACTTGCATAACATTTTTGTTGAAGTGGGTTTTGGGTTTCACATGTTCTGCAGCATTCTTGGCAAGGGTGTGCAAATAATACTTTAAAATGAAACTTTCCCTTTTTACTTCAGCTTCTTCCTTTAATTGAGAAGTTATGAATATATCTTGCCTCTTTTCGCAAATCAAAGTGTGTTCAAATGCAATTAATCTACCCTATTAACTTGACTAAACATCTGCTGTATTTGTTAAACACTTCAAAATTCTGTTCTGAACCAGTTAATTCTCAGTAATTTCCCAGTTAAATATTTACATGGGCTTCCATGATGATAAGCTCTAGCCTCTCTTAAATAATCAGCAGATTGTCCAGAGAGAGCTGTGTGAAATGCAACACACTGTCATAGCTATCCACTGGAACTTGAAATGGTGTCGCGGGCTTGGATATTTTTGCATATTTCGTCCTAGCCAAAAGAGGTAACATCCTTATGAATTCCTTTCTTGTCAACATTTTTAATGTCCAAAATTCCACTCAAAATAGTAAATGAATACTTGACAGACATATGCAGATGTTTATATCACAAATATCCTAAGGACGTTCTCAAGCTTCTCTTTCTGAAAATCAATAAATCTTAGGTTTGTGAAATTTTAGGAATAACCCGACTTACAGTTATTTTCATAGCAGACTAAATAGATGGAAAAAGTAGAAAAAATGGATAGGCATTATTATTCAGTAAATTAAATCAAAGAAGAAAATAATGCACAGATTATGCAAATATGCTGTGTGCACAAAGATACTTAAGATATCATTTTCTAACTAGAAAAATGACATAAATCTGTCAAATGTCAAGTAGTGGTCAAAGATTTGAATAAGTTTCATACTAGAGATATGTCATAGGTGGTAAATGATCAATTCTTAAATGAATTGTAAGACGATTTTCCTCTTAGATATCAGAGAATGGAACGGTCGCTTTAGATGAGGAATACAGACAAGGCTGAAGGCTCTCCAACGTGGTTTTAAGTGCAAGTCCAAGTTTTGAAAATAAATATGATTACATGTAGAGCAGAAACCTGTTTCCCACCACCACCCAGTAGTATTCTGTTCCAGAATGGTTTTTTTAATTATTTTGTTGAGGTCATAATGGTTTATAACATTGTGTAATTTCAGGTGTACATTATTATTTATCATTTTCTGTATAGACTGCATTATGCTCACTATCAGTAGCCTAACTTTTATCTGTCACCATATATATGTTCCCCTCTACCCCTCTCGCCCACCCCGCACCCAGCGTTTTCTTTCTTCTGATCCAATTTACTGTTTATTGATCTCTTCTGTAAGTGTGTTAGAGGATAGAAAAAATGACCCTCTGTCCTCTAGAACTCATAGTCAACTAAGAAGATCAGTAAAGTACACACAAAATGGCATTTACAAGGCCAGAGTAAGAAAGAACTCTGGGAGGGATTCTGAGACGAATGCTGAGCTCTGCCAAGTGTGATTCAAGTAGGTCAGAGCTTAGGCGTATCTGTAATGTTCATGGTAAGTGACAAGTAAATCCATTGTTTGACTTTACCAAATGGGAGGTGTAGTGAGCTGGATAATCATAAATAATGAATCATCCCCAAATTTTAACTTCTTATTTTGGGAAAAATATGATTTTTCTACAGTTGACCCATGCTTTACTAATGACAATATTGATATTTTCCTTTGTAAATGTCAACTAATATTCAATAAATACAGTTCAAGAATATTCTGAGCAGTAATGCAACGTGTCTAGAATTAAAAATTGGTCATGGATAGGTGGCCGGCCCAGTGGTGTAGTGGTTAAGTTTGTGCATTCTGCTTCAGCGGCCTGGGGTTTGCAGGTTCAGATCCCAGGTGAAGACCTAGCACCACTCACCAAGCCATGCTGTGATGGTGTCCCACATAAAATAGAGGAATAATTGGCACAGGTGTTAGCTCAGGGCGAATCTTCCTCAAAAACAAAGAAAAAAGTTGGCCATGAATAATTCAAATAGTGAATAATCAATTGGAGAATAAAAATAATTTTCCAATCTTTTAATCAAATTTCTAATTGGGTCCTAAACTTAGCAAAGGTTGGGGGGAGGCGGGATTCAGAATCACAAATATCCAGCAGGCACACTAGTGGGTTTATGTATGTGAGTGTACCATATCTTGCTATTTGGACTTCACACACAAAAGGTTCTCATAAATATTTTTTTAATCCATTGAATACATTCCAAATCAAATTTAGTACTTTAGCATCATGTAGGGTTTTGTCCTGTAACTTCTCCAACTAGTAAAGGGAGTGGAATTTTCATTGTCTGTTGCTCAGAATTTATTGTGCTCCCTTGATGAATGTTTGGTGTGTGGATGTTTTAGTAGCTCGTGTTTAAAAACACTGAAAGAGCTGTCAGCATTTGGATGGATATCAAAAATGTTATATAGAGTTTGACCATTCGTGAAACGGTAATAGTTTCCTAAGGCTGAGAGGGAAGAGTTTCATCTAGAGCCAAGACTGTCAGTCTTATAAAAAATGATACAACTCCCTGTAGTTCTGTTGTAATTAATACTTGGTATATTTGGATTTCAACATTTGTTTTTATTGTACACATTAGGAATTTACCATCCTAAAGTTGGCCTAATTACCCAACTTTCCTTTGTTATGTGTTTTTTATAATAACAAACAGAACTGACCACTTTTTTCATTCCCTGCTTTTTATTCCTGCCTAAATCAATAAAATATAGGCTCCACATGTCCCTATAACACTATAACATTAAAATGTTCCAAAAGTAGATAAAAGAAATGAAAGTAGTAAATATATACATTTTATTAGTGTTTTGTGAAGGAGTCCAAAAGATCTGGGGGGACACTGAGGATTGGTGATTCTTTGTACTAATGCTTTTTGAAAATTAGTTACGATAATTTATGCTAAATTCTAATAACTTTAATTAAGAGAAAGCAATCTGAATGAAAAATTAAAATATATCTATCACTTTTTTATATTCAAAACAAAATTAGATGGTGAAATTGTGCATGTTATGGCATTTATGAAAATTTAGTTTCTATGAAAAAAGAAAAATTAATATATGCATAATAAGTATTTATAGGTCATGACAAGCACATCTGCTGTTTTAGTTTAAAGGTAGCCATGAATTTTAAAGAAAAAAGTCATATTATAAAAAGGAATCCTAATGGGGGGCTGGCCCCGTGGCCGAGTGGTTAAGTTCGCGCGCTTCGCTGCAGGCGGCCCAGTGTTTCGTTGGTTCCAATCCTGGGCGTGGACATGGCACTGCTCATCAAACCACGCTGAGGCAGCGTCCCACATGCCACAACTAGAAGGACCCACAACGAAGAATATACAACTATGTACCGGGGGGGCTTTGGGGAGAAAAAGGAAAAAATAAAAACAAAAATCTTAAAAAAAAAAACAAAAAGGAATCCTAATAATTTTTAAATTAGATAGCAGAAGAATGTTTATTCTGGAACGAAGGTGAATTCAGATTTGTTTGAATATGTATTACTAGATTTCTCATTTATCCCAAACCATTTAAGGCATTTAATATATGATCAGTTAATCATAAATATTTGTAAAACCCTTTGAAAATTACTGTTTTTACCCAAAAACTTTTATTAGAATGACTTGATTTCCCAGTAAGATTTTTTTCACTCAAACATTCATAGGCACATACCATGACGAATAAGACACAGATTCTACTGTTGCCCTTAGAGCCTGGTGAGAGAAATGGATCATTACAGGAATAAGCAATTAAGTAAACTTGTGAGCAGCACTTGAAGGACAAGTACAAGGCAATGTAGACTGAAGCCAGGCGTCCACTCTCCCTGGGGAAAATCAGGGAGCGCCAGGCTGGGCTTTCTCAAGATCAGTCTGGCTGTGATGTGGAGAATGGTGGGTCTGTGTCCAGCGTCAGCTGGGAAGCTCTTACAGACGAGCAGGCAAGAAGCAAGAACGGAAGCAGCAGAAAGGGAGAGAAATCGATGGATCCAAATATATTTTGGAGATACATCAACTAGACTTGGTAACAGGATGTGAAAAACAAATTTGAGAGAAGAAGGTATGGGGGATGAAGTCTAGATTTCTAGCATGAGTGTGAGGAGGAGGTTGTATGGATTTCTTGAGTTATATAGAGTGGGAAGAAAACGAGCCTAAATCCCCCTCACTTTTGAAAGTTGAACAGGGAAGGGGGAGGCAGCAGGAGAGACCAAGAAGCAGCTTTCAGAGAGGCAACAGCTTCGCAGGAACTGCCAAAGGCTTTTTGAAACCAGCAATATCTTCACTGTGAGCGTCATGGTGAATCAGAATTCCTGTGTAATAGTAGCTATCTGTGGGAATCAGGAGACCACTTCCAGAGTAACAACGTGTGGGATTTCCTGGGCCTTTTTTATGATCTGAAAAAATGATTTTCTCTACCACTTGACAATGTTATGAGAAAGTATTAACTAAAGTCTATGGTACTAAAAATGAAGTGTTATGAATAGAAATACTTTGAAGCCAACGTCATAACCACGTGTTTTCTTAGAAGATACTTACAGAGCTACTCTTGACCAAAAATGTAGTTGTATTTATAACGTTTAAATATAGGAAGAGGCAATTTTTTTGCTTGCAAATATGGTTACCATTTATTTATGGTAGTTTGGTGAAATGTGGTTCTGATCACATGGGTGTCTTCACTGGCAGTGAACTTTGGGCCTCATGCCTGGTTTGGAATTGCCTGTTTTCTCTTCTGGAGTTAATGACAAAGATAAACCAGTCAAAGAAGGACAAATTCATCGTTATTAATATATTACGTAGTCTAACCTTGCAAGAGCTCAAATCACTTTAAGAGTTTTGTTTAATCAATAAAGTAGGTATTAATTTTCACAGCATTCTCCGTTGAGGCAGGTGTACCGGAAATGGTCTGTTAACATGTGTCCTTTTCTCCTCTTAGGATTCCCTGGGGATCCAAGGCCCCCGAGGTCCACCTGGAAAAGAGGGTCAGAGGGTAAGTCAGCTTGAAGCAACTGCAGGCGTCACTGACTCTGGGATGACTTATTTCTGAACACGAATAAAAATGAAACTAAAATACAGCAAGCAGATGGGCATAAGGAGAGTATCAACTATCCAAAGACTGAAATTTGAGATTTTGACTGAGCTTTTACAATCCAGAAAATTCCATGTATTTTCAAGATTGGCAGCACAAATGTGGAGAGAGAGTTTGGGTGAAATGAATTGACCGTAATTTGATCTGCGGCACTTTCGTGATATTTGGGAGTTTGAGTTAAGCTGATCTTTGCAGAGTTAAGTTGATGAGTTTCTTGGTGGAATTCCAGCCCATTCACGAATTCTATAAAGATTGTGGATATTTACATTCTTTAGCCAATTGAAATTATTGTCATGAGTGACTCTTTCTAACTGTCCTTTCATTACTATTTACTGCCTTTGAGGTAAAACACATTCGTGGTAAGTGAAGAACCTGTACTTGCAGTTGGGAGAATGGCAATTCCCTTCTGCCTCTGGTCCAGTCAGTCTTCCCATCCAGTAAGAGGAGCCCTGTGGTGACAGCTGGTCAGCTTCGTTTGACCACTGTGAGCACTGGGGCACCCCATTCTTGTGGCTTATTGCTATTTTCAAATCATTTTAAAGTCTCAAAACATTTTCTATGTGCCTTCTCATATGATCGTTGTTGTTGACTTCTGTTACCTTATAGATGAGGAGTGTGTGACTCAGAGTTTAGGTGACTTGCCTAAAGTACAAAAGCTGGGAAAAAGTAGGGCCAGGACTTGGATCTGGGGTTTCTGCCTCTAGATCCCATGTTCTATTTTGCTGTCCCAGGATAGTAACCCAAAATCTGTTTTTCAGTCATTTTTAATTTTTATTCCCCATTGTACCCTGTGGCAAATAGTCTGTTGCCTCACATACAGAAGAGTTTTTCAAATATTTGAGGACGAATGGTGTATTTCACCCAGGTTTACCTTTTATCAGGTTAATAAAGTCCCAGTGCTCTTAACCATTCCTCTTATGTGGATTCCTGACCCCCTAGCATGCTGATGGTCTTTCCCAGAAAACACTCGTGGACCCTCAGGAGGTGTCAGGTGGGGACAGACATGTGTGGTCTTATTCAGGGCAGGGTAAGCGCAGCACGTATGCCCTGCACCAGAGACAAATACTTCTATTGCGGCCTCAGACTGAGCCAATGTTTCTGTGTGTGGAGTCACACTTTTTTTTTTAACTAACTCCTTCTGCTAGAGCAGCTCTGTTTTTAATTATTGTCTTGGGGTGTTACAATTAAGCTTTGATTTGGAAAAACTGGACTGGATGATATCCAACTTTGTTCAGTTAAAAAAATTCTATGTCCAGTTTTTATTCCCAGTGGCTGATTCGGTGAACACAAAAGGGCTTCATAAGCTTTGATGCCTAAGAAATTAAAGGAAATGCTTCGTGAATAATGGGTAACATTTATGGACTACGTATAATGTTCTGAAGGCTTCATATTTATTATTTCGTTTATTCCTTACAATGGCTCTATGAGGTGGGTTCTACTGTTGTCCTCATAGAGAAACTGAGGTTTTTAAGCAACTTGGATAGGACACATTGCTAGAAAGTGGAGCTATGCTGAGATTTTTAAACTATTTACAAAGTAGTCATGTTGGGGTTCTACTCTCAACACCTATGTGTCCAATTGTAGTCTCTCCTGCAGCTCTCCAGCCACTCTCTATCCAAGACTTCATCAGCCCAACTGATCAAAGTTTTAAATAGTCTCAGGGAAAAGTTAAAATATTACCTCCCTAGATCTGTGCTTTCGAGGCTGCCTTAAGCATTTAACCCACTGGGGGCAGTGGACTAGATGAAATGACCTGGTGAAGTTAATTTCCAAGCTTCTTATTCTATATTCTCATAGTGATGGGCAAGATGTCTATCGCATCTAGGACCATGTTTCTGAATTAATTTCTGTCTTCAGCATCCAGGGAACATTTTCCTTCTAATAACTACCCCTTCTTGAAACTGAGTGGTAAATTATACCCCTAGTTAACATCCAAAATATATAAGGAACTCATGCAACTCAATAGCAAAAAAAACAATAACCCAATTTAAAAATGGGCAAAAGACCTTAATACGCATTTCAAGAAGATATACAAATGGCCAACAAGTATATACCTGAGAAGGTGCTCAACATCACTAATCATCAAATCAAACCATAATGAGATATCTCCTCACACCTGTTAGAATGGCTATTATAAGAAAGACAAGAGATAACAAATGTTGGAAAAGTAGTAGAGAAAAGTGACACCTTGTGCGCTGTTGGTTGGAATATAAATTAGTGCCGCTGTTACGGAAAATAGCATGAAAGTTCCTCAGAAAGTTAAAAATAGAACTTATCTATGAGCCAGCAATCTCACTTCTGGGTATACATCCAAAGGAAATGACATCAGTATTTTGAAGAGATATCTTCACTTTCATGATGTAGAAACAACCTAAATGTCCATTGACAGATGATTGGGCAAAGAAAATGTGATCACACACACACATACACACACACACACACACCCAAAATGGAATATAATTCAGCCTTAAAAAAGAACCAAATTCTGCCATTTGTGATAACACTGATGAACCTAGGGGACATTATGCTAAGTGAAATAAGCCAGACACAGAAAGACAAACACTGCATACTCTTACTTATATGTGGAATCCAAAAATGTCAAAGTCATAGAAACAGAGAGTAGAATGGTGGTTACCCGGGGCTGGGGGTATGGTCAAGGAGTGGGAGATGTTGGTCAAGGAGTACAAAGTTTTAGTTATGCAAGATAAATAAGTTCTGGAGATGTAATGTAAAGCAATGAGACTGTAGTTAATATGGTGTTGTATACTTGAAATTTGATAAAAAGGTAGATCTTAAAATCACCATTCACACACACACAAAGGTAACTATGTGCAAGGTGACAGATGTGTTAATCAGCTTGATTGTGGTGATTGTTTCACAATGCACATCAGATCATCAAGTTGTATGCCTTAAATATATACAATTTTTAATTAACTATAATTTAATGTAGAAAAATAATAATAATAAACAGATTTTTAGTTTCAACTCCAAAAAAACTTATACTCCCTAGGTGGTTTGACATGGAAATTATGGAGCGAGGTGGATGAGGTTAAGTCAAGGGCATCACATCTGAGTTCTTCCCCCTGTGGCAGAGCTCCTTCTCTTTTTTAAATCTTGTGTGGTAAGAACATTTAACATGAGATCTATCCTCCTGACAGATTTCTAAGTGTAGGATGATGTCACACTTTTGACTTGTACTGACATGTGGTCGATTCAATGCTCCTCTTTTATTTTAGTGAAAACTCCTGCCAAGCCACATCTTCACCCATCCTGTTGCTGGTGCTTGTCTCTTTGAATCACAGAGTAGAAATTGGTCCTTGTCGTTGTTAAATTTCATCTTCTGGATTTTAGTCCCTAATGCCCTTCTGTTGTGTTTTTTTCCCAGTGAAATAACTCCCAGCTTCATGTCACCTTAAAATTTGATAAGCCTGCGCTCTAAGCCTTCGTTCACATCGTTAATAAATGCTGAAATCGAACAGGGCCTGACAACTCTGTGCAACGCTGGCAAAGGCTCCCATGGATTTTCTTGGGGCACGAGCATCAAATCATGTGCAAATCCATTTGAATTCCAACTCCTTTCCATGCACATTTCTTAATTTGGCTTGTAAGATAATTATGAGAGCCTTTGTCAGACCAGCTAAAATGAAAAGATATTCAAATGAGGCTTTTAAAAATAATAATGCTTCAAATTGAAACTGTACCCTATCAAAGCTTACATTTCAGAAGAAGGTAAGTTAAAGAATAAATTAAACTTATGTATTCCTCATGATAATTATGGAGGACTGTATTCAAATTGTAAAGTTCAACCACTATGTTATGCAAATTTACTCCGTTTATAAATATGTATAGTCCAGATAATTTTATATTACTCTTATTTTATTCCTTTCAAGAGTAACATAGTGTCAGAAGCTCAAGAATGTAATAGAATTTTAAAGATGCAGTTAGGCATGGTTTGTCATTATTACTTCTGCTCTTTCAGAAATGACATATTTATCGAGGACAGCGGCTAGAGCAGATATTATTGATGTTATCCACATTTACAAATGATTACTTCCAAATATGCTCAGTGATTTGTTCTGCTTTATAATCTACTTGAAAGAAGAAACTTAGTTTAAGAAATGAGCATTCTTACACATTTACGTTTAGGTCCATCTTAGTGCCACCGTTGCTTCTCTGCTCAAGAGTTTGGTAGCACTCCGCTCTTTTAGACATGTAAACGCGCGCGCGTGTGTGTACACATACACACATACATACATAGCGCATACTGAAAGCCAAGACCAGTAATTTTTCCATTTTGTTGAAGTTTGCAATAGAAACAATAGAAAAATCTATGAATTTAAAATTCTTTTTATTGACACGTTGTCAAGAAAATGCTGATAGTTTGATTACAGGTGTCTGACCAGGAAGGAATTGCCTATCATTAAGTTTATTGCAATGAAAACAAATACATGGCGAATCTTCAGCACCTTGCTCCTAGGCATAGTATCTTTAAGGAAAGCAGGACATTTAATTTTAGACAAATCATTGACTTGTTGCTTTTCCTCAATGACTAAATAGATAGTAGCTTCTACTCTACCAACAGCTCACAATTAGGGCAAGTGTCATACTTGGTGTCACATGTAAACATACTTTGAAAAATACTAAACATTATAGAAACATGTTAATATTACTACTGTTATTTTTACTAAGGCATAAGGATTTTGATTGATAAATTCCTTTTATTTTTCTGTTTAACCCTTTGTGTAGAGTTTTCTATAAATACAGTAAGGACATTATTTTTTTCCAAGTACCACTCCAAACTTGTGTTTGAAATTTTTGTTAGTTGACTTTATTCTTTTCATTGTCTTTTAAGCTGCTAAATCTTAGATTATAAAGGGTTCATTTAATAAAATATAGGAGTA